CCCCCCCCCCCCCCCCCCCCCCAGGAGGAGGTGCAGCTGTGTCCGTCTCCTCCGATCTGACTGAAGACAGAGACGTTCAGCAGCAGAAACGTTGTGGAAACGTTGTTTAAAGGTTGACACTGAGCAGCTCACCTCCTGTGATAACACTACCGCCCCCCCCCTTGTTAACACTAGTGTGACCTCATGACCTTCACAGCAGGACCAGAGGACGGACTTAAAGAACCCCAATAGTCAGCTGCTTTGGTTTGTTCTTCATCTGATGATGATGATGATGATGATGATGTCATCACATCTGGAGCGTCCTGTTCTTCTCTCAGAGGGAGCCGGTGGTTTGATTCTCAAACCTCTGATCTGTGTGTCGACGGTTCTTATCCGGTGTGGCGTCCCGGGAAGTTTTTTTTGTGCGTCTTTGACAGCGAGACGATGTCCCCAGCTAGACCCAGAGGGACGACGCGAGATAAAGACGGACGACTTCAGACATCGTCGGATAAAGACGGGCGACGCGAGATAAAGACGGACGACTTTAGACATCGTTGGATAAAGACGGGCGACGCGAGATAAAGACGGGCGACGCGAGATAAAGACGGGCGACTTTAGACATCGTCGGATAAAGACGGACGACTTTAGACATCGTCGGATAAAGACGGGCGACGCGAGATAGACGGGCGACGAGAGATAGACGGGCGACGAGAGATAAAGACGGGCGACTTTAGACATCGTCAGATAAAGACGGACGACGCGAGATAAAGACGGGCGACTTTAGACATCGTCAGATAAAGACGGACGACGCGAGATAAAGACGGGCGACTTTAGACATCGTCAGATAAAGACGGACGACGCGAGATAAAGACGGGCGACTTTAGACATCGTCGGATAAAGACGGACGACGCGAGATAAAGACGGGCGACTTTAGACATCGTCGGATAAAGACGGACGACGCGAGATAAAGACGGATGACTTTAGACATCGTCGGATAAAGACGGACGGTGGTAGATGAGGACGGACAATGTTGGACAACGTTAGAAGACATCAGACACTGCTGGCTGTTGGTCGGTTTGTTGACGATGACAGCTGTTAAAAACTCATAATTAGTCTGAACTGCACAACCTGAACGCAGCATCACTTCAGTGATTCAGTCCAAACTTAAAAGAATTTATTTTTCTGGATTTACAGGAATCATTAGTTCCTCCAGCGGTCCTGATGAAGAAGAGGGTGGTTTCCTTTTGGACCTCTCTTGATTTTTGAACTTCTCTTGTTATAAATACATGAGTGTTGTGTTCAGGGTCCTGCCAAAAGTAAACCATTACTAGATCAGAAGTAGATGAAGTCGCCTCGACACACAGATGAAACAAACGCCAACAAATACAAATAAAGAAGTCACAGAAGAAGAGCGGACCGTCTGATGTTTTAACCCGTCGAGGTTTTGTTGTATTTAAGTTTTTTTTTAATCGTAAAATCTGAAGTAATTCAGATTGACTTTTACCGTGTTTTTAAGAAGTTAGAGAAACCGTTTCTAAATAAAACAGCCGTGTCGGGTTAAATATCAGATCGTCTGTTCGGCCAATCAGAGCCCTCCGTTCAAACCACCACCGACTGAGTGAAGACAGCATTGGCGTAGTTACGTGTGGACGTTTTTCTGTTTGTGTAAAAATATAAATCTAGTTTTTATAATCGTTTTTATATAAACGTGGAAACGTCTTGTCAGCGGCACCGAGGAGGATTCTTGGTCTGAGCTCCTGTTCTGGAGGAGGAGCTCCTTCTGTCCTCGTCACAGACGCACAAAGATTTATTTAAATAAAGAGATCATTACTTTTGTTTTATTTCTAGCTTCTGGTAATCAACCCGGAAGTATTTGGCTTTACATGCTGGTACTTGAACGCACCGCTCCTCCTCCTCCTCTTATCACCGTGTGACTTTTATTCAACAAACAGGAGAACATTTATTTATGTTTTTTTTTTTTTCTCTCTTTTCATCAAAAAAAAGAACCGTTTGAGCTCCAGGGGAAACGGTCCAATCAGACGCCTCCTGGGGCGGGGTTTAGAAGAAAGAAAAAAAAAAAAGCTGCCCCCTGATTGGCTGAACAAGCAGCTCAGAGTTGTGTTGTGTTTTAGTTTGAAGGGATTTGTAACGCGAGCATCTCCTGATCACAGATCTTTATTTTTCTTTCCAGCAACGCGACGACTTCCTGTGTAACTAAAGAATTTCTTTGTGTAATGCATGATTAATACAATAAAAAAGTATTTTTTCTAGTCTTCCAGAAAAATGGGGAAAAAACGTTTTGATGAGTTTTGTAATTTTTTTTTTTTTTTTTTTTTGATTTACAAATTATGAAACAGCAGATTTTAAAGATTGAACCACATAGCAGAATACAACTGTTGAAATGTATATAAAATGTCTATAATAACTATTAAATGGTGTACCTGTACAGAGGCTGCTCCTCCGCTCGTCATTCATCGACTCAGGAAGTGTACCGCCAAAATAAAACACGGTTCTGAAGCCGTTAATGCGTCTTTAAACAACCTCGCGACGCTTCTTTTGAGCTCGCGTTTCATTTATAGATGTGACAATTTGATTTAATTTCTCAAGTTACGTTTATTTTTTCAGACCTTTCTGCGATTTTCACTGTTTACTTTTTGTAAACTACTTTACAAATAGTTTTATTATTAAAGTAAAGACAATTCACTGATGGCTCTGAATATGTTTAAAAGGGGCTCACAGGTAGATTTGTCTTGACACACACTTAAAAACAGCTGTTGGGTTAAGCAGTGTTTTTCAACCGCCAGCTGTGCCGTGAGAGACCGCCAGCTGTGCCCGCCAGCTGTGCCGTGAGAGACCGCCAGCTGTGCCGTGAGAGACCGCCAGCTGTACCGTGAGAGACCGCCAGCTGTGCCGTGAGAGACCGCCAGCTGTGCCGTGGGAAAATGTCCAATTTCACTTAATGAGTCCAAAAAAATATTTAGTTTTTGCAAATACTTTGCCATTGTTGAGCGTCTGGCTAAGTAATACATGCTCTTCCATGCCAGTGGGGGGCAGTAGGTAGCGCAGTAATGACGTGTTAATGTCGGAGAGTAGAATGAAATGACGCGCGGGAGAAGTTGCGATGGAGAAATATTTGAAAAGGTAAAATGCAGACTCTGAACTGGTCCCTGCGCTAAACCTGCAGCTTCAGGGACAGGGACGTGGGATCGCAGACACGTCTGTGACATGTCACAGACATGTCACAGACGTGTCATGTCTGATCACAGATGTGTGAGGCAGTAAAAGTCTCCACCGCTGTGTTCCT